TACAAGCACACTCTCAGCACGTTACTGACTTTTCCTTATTACACTGCAAGAAAAAGTGTGGATAGTACAACAAAAGTACAACAAAAACTGTACAATAAAAGTACAACAGGGATTGTAGAAAGTACTACGAGAATTGTACAAACCACAACCAGCCCTGGACTGCCCGCACTCGTCATGCCGGTTCCGTTGTACTTTGTACAACAATTGTTGTACTTGAAAAGTACACTAAATTCCTGATAAAAAATTTGCCAGAAATTTGTGTACTTTTGTTGTGGTTATTTTCTGCAGTGTAATTACGTATTCGTACAAGCAACAAAAATACTTAGTATTTTCTAGGCATGTATGTAAGTATGACTACACTCTCATTCAGGGGTGTTCTAAAACTTGACGCCTTTAGTCGCTTGCCTTAGGTTTTGTACCACCTTGAGTCGCCTCACCACGTAACGCCAAAATGCGCCTAAAAACAAAGCGCCTTAGGCGCTCTCTTTTAAAACCCCTTTGGGGCTCAAACCACTGCATGAATAGCAATGCATGGCTGCTTAGGCTCACTTGCAAAGGTGCGTCCCATGTAAACACCTTTCACTTTGATTTTACTAGGGGGGGTGCGCCCAGGCCAAACACCCCTGCTGCACTAGGGATGCAGCGAAAGGGTGTATGCGGGGCCATACCCCTTTCGCTTTCTTTGCATGGCAGTGGACAAGGTGCGTGGAGTCTAAACACCTTCAGCCTAGGCTGAAGTAGGCGCAAAGGTGTGTGGTCTGCAAACACCTTTATGACCTACCGCATTTGTGCTGACTGGGGTGCGCTCTGGGCAAACACCTTTTGTCATCATTGGGAGAAATACCTGTGTACTTTGGTAGATGTTGAAGTTTCGACTGCTTCCGCACTGCAGAAAATAACCACAACAAAAGTACACAAATTTCTGGCAAATTTTTTATCAGGAATTTAGTGTACTTTTCAAGTACAACAATTGTTGTACAAAGTACAACGGAACCGGCATGACGAGTGCTGGGCAGTCCAGGGCTGGTTGTGGTTTGTACAATTCTCGTAGTACTTTCTACAATCCCTGTTGTACTTTTATTGTACAGTTTTTGTTGTACTTTTGTTGTACTATCCACACTTTTTCTTGCAGTGCGCTGCATTCTTGGTAGTGACTGTTAGTACTTCAAACCAAACCTGACTAAATTCCCTTACAGTCATGTTTACCTACTACATGTACTTTAGGAGTTGACCTGTAGAAATTAATCACAAGGATGTTGTTAGGTGTTGATATCCAATAATAAATAGAGTATTCCATTATGTTGCTTGCTTCTTGCACTTCATGGTGAGGTTCAACTGTTGATGTAAACTTGCATTGTAGTCACTGTTTTCAATTTCACACGAGGACAGAATGATGTTTGAATAAAAACATAACATAAACAACGATAAATGATCCGGTTGGGGAATGTCCATGTCACACGATTAATGTAAAGCCATAAATTTGATAAAGTAATTACTGCAACACCAACCGTAACGACGGCCATTTCCAAAAACTCGCCGCTCCAAAACGCTGTGAGTGCAGATTCAGATTCGAGTCAGGTATGAAAAACTCGGACTAGCCTCGCACACTCCAGAGACGGCCAACAATCAAAACCAAGGCCAGTCTTGTATGAAAAATTTAGACAAGCCTATATTTTGCGGTTCACCACCTGAAAGAAATAGGAGCCGCGCACGTCGAGGGGAGGAGCCGCGAGCTTCGGGGGGGTGGGGGTACGGGACCGCTGGGGTGGGGGGGCCGCCAGGCGCATCTCCATTCAGCCGTCCCTGGGCCATTCGCTGCAGGCGCGGGTTCAATACCACACCCGTGCCTTTTTTTTCGGTCGCGTTTGGCGGGAAGATCTATCGCGAGTTAGAGAATGATCTGCCGCGAGTTAGAGAAAGATCTGTCGCGAGTTAGAGAAAGATCTGCCGCGAGTTAGAGAAAGATCTGTCGCGAGTTAGAGAAAGATCTGTCGCGAGTTAGAAAAAGATCTGTCGCGAGCCCGTTAGGTTAGGTTAGGATAGGTTGGACCGTTTAGTTTCGACACCCCGGGTCCCCTCCGGATGGCCGTAGGGTAGGAGCCCCTCCCCTCCAGCGCCCCCACCCCTCGGCTCCTATTTCTTTCAGGTGGCCGACCGTATATTTTGTTTGTTGGCCGTCTCTGCAGTGCGCACATTTTCATCAGCGAGGCTAGTCTGAGTTTTTCATGACTCGAATCTGAATCTGCACTCACAGCGTTTCGGAGAGGAGAGTTTTTGGAAATGGCCGTCTTTACGTTTGGTGTTGCAGTAATTACTTTATCAAATTTATGGCTTTACATGAATCGTGTGACAAGGACATTCCCCAACCAGATCATTTATCGTTGTTTATGTTATAGTTTTATTCAAACATCATTCAGTCCTCGTGTGAAAGTGAAAACAGTGACTACAATGCAAGTTTACATCAACAGTTGAACCTCACCATGATGTACAGAAAGCAAGCAACATAATGGAATACTCTATTTATTATTGGATATCAACACCTAACAACATCCTTGTGATTAATTTCTATAGGTCAACTTCTAAAGTACATGTAGTAGGTAAACATGACTGTAAGGGTATTTAGTCGGGTTTGGTTTGAAGTACTAACAGTCACTACCAAGAATGCAGCGGAAGCAGTCGAAACTTCAACATCTACCAAAGTACACAGGTATTTCCCCCAATGATGACAAAAGGTGTTTGCCCAGAGCGCACCCCAGTCAGCACAAATGCGGTAGGTCATAAAGGTGTTTGCAGACCACACACCTTTGCGCCTACTTCAGCCTAGGCTGAAGGTGTTTAGACTCCACGCACCTTGTCCACTGCCATGCAAAGAAAGCGCAAGGTGTATGGCCAGCATACACCTTGCGCTGCATCCATAGTGCAGCAGGGGTGTTTGGCCTGGGCGCACCCCCACTAGTAAAATCAAAGTGAAAGGTGTTTACATGGGACGCACCTTTGCAAGTGAGCCCAAGCAGCCATGCATTGCTATCTCAGGCAGTGGTTTGGGCCCAAGGTGTTTCAAAAGAAAGCGCCTGAGGCGCTTTGTTTCGAGGCGCCTTTTGGCGTTATGTGGTGAGGCGACTGAAGGTGGTACAAAACCTAAGGCAAGCGACTAAAGGCGTCAAGTTTTAGAACACCCCTGAATGAGAGTGTAATTTCCTTTGTAAAATTATGAACAAAACGAAATTGTAAGTTCATAATTTAATATTTCCAAAGTGTTTCTTTAAAAAAGGAAAAGAACGTATTATGGTTGCACAAATTACTAGCAAAAGTACTGACGAAATGAGCAAAAAGTCAGTAACGTGCCTAGAGTGCACACTGCACTGTTAAAAAATGGTTGTACAGAAACAATCGGATGAGTGAAAATTTAGTTGTTCCAAAACATAGAGTTTCGTCATGAACCAAAGCGAAACAAATGTCGTTGACTCAAGTCAGCGACAATTTGTCGTTGAAGAACAATATTCTTGTTATCACCTTTAACGATACCATTTGTGTGGAAACAACATCTTTAGCAGTTATCTGCTCAATTAAAGCGTATTATGAAAATTCATCTATTTTGTTCGCCGAGTCATAGTGAAATTACTACTGATAAAAAAAGAACCATGCAAAATAAATATAGCGATAAAAGTTCTCCATGAGTACTTGTCGCAGACATAACAACATCTTTTTCGACTTACAATACTTGTCGTTCACTTACAACATTTGTTGTTGGTCAACGACTTGTTTTTGAAAGTGGACTGTTGATGTGTTATTACAAGTTAGTCGTTGTGAAATTATCCTTTTGTTCCTGTATGACTATGGTTTAACAAGCTACTCGTTCCACAACAAATCTTGTCGTTGAAAAAGTTAGCGACAAATGTGTCGCTAAGTTACTACCAAATTTTTGTCAGTGTGTAAATGGTGAAAGGCTGCACCAACATACTATTATGGTGGAGATTTTCTCCATAATGCCAATGAAATTCGTCAAAATATCTATAAGGTACAGTGAATTTCTCAATGGTATGTTACGAAGTAATCTGCACCACCGTTATATGGAACATTTACACCATAATATGGAGAGCCTTCACTTTACAACATTTAGAGTGCACTACAAAGCCAGTGGCAAGTTTTCTTGCCTCAAATTTGGCACGCCGTTTTTAATGCCAAGATTAGGCAAGCTTTGATCTAAAATCTCCATAAGCTTGCCAAATTTTTGGGAAGCTGGGGAGTATTACCTAGCTTAGCTCGCCAATTTTTGGCAAGCAAACTTACCACTGACTTTGCATGAAAATTACCCCCCGGGATATGCACTATCAAACTCTGTGATACAAGCTGTATCCTATTACGCCTCAAAATAATCGGGGTATAGCTATTCACACCCCATCAATAAGAAAAAATTTTAGAATTTCAGCTATAAAAGCGTATTATTACGCTTGCTATGACGGAGTGGCCCCTCGAATTTCTCTGAAAGTCGGTTGCCTGAGACACTCGTGTAAATGTTGTCAAAATGTCAGAAACATGTCTGAAATCCTTATCAAAATTCGCGCACTTCTGAAAGCTGAAATTCTGAAAACTTACTCTGATATTGATGGTATGAGACCCACAGAATGTCAGGGGATGTTTTCAGCTTTCAGAGGTGCGCGAATTTTGATCAGGATTTCAGCCAGTTTTGTGACATTCTGATAAGATTTACACTAGAGTATTTCGGAGAAGCTCCAGCCTGAGAGAACAAAAACGGAAGTGAGAAATGGCAGTTTCAATGAGAAATGTAAGCTGCGAATCAGATCAAGGCTCTCTTTCTTCCGCTTTTGTTCTTCCGGGTTCACTTCGGGATCAAAATTCTGACCCAAAGTGAGCCTTCTTGGGATTCGAATGTGGGTCGGAGGTAAATATGGATTCAATGTTCATCATTGTACAACCCTCGGAAACACAGGAAATGATGTGAAACTTGGTATGAGCACTTGCATCGACAAAAATTGTATTTTTCTGCCGCTTTTGCGGAGTTTTATTGCGACTGAATGACATGCGATCGAGTATGCGATACACTCTCATTCCAGGAACGTGACCTCACGTTCAGAGGTTTGGGACAAAATGTCACGTTCGTTTGAGCATTGTATCACATTCGTTTGAATGTGCACACCCTCAGTATCTTACGCATGACAAGTATACGTAACTTACGATGAAGTCAGATTCATCGTAATTACGTACAACAACATACATAATACGCTTGGATGTAAGCGTATTATGCTCACATTCAAGACGTAGTCTAAAAGGAAACCTGTTACGCATGATTTTAAGCGTAAGACATGCGTAATACATGCTCTTACGATAAAAGATGCGTACAGGGATTTGTTTATGTTCACACCATCGTAAGGGACGTTCAAATTTTAAATAATGGTAAATCTTCTACTGAAATAAGAAAAAATTGAATCTTTTCTCATTGAACCTAGGAATAATACGTGTTTGATTAGAGGGGGGAAGGGGCAATCATTTCAATGGGTACTGAATCAAAATGCTGCCATGAGAATCTTGTTGTAGCACTCACCATTGGGTTGAATCCTATGAAAGCTATCCAAACTATTCACAGCATGATTGAATGGGTGGAAATGTCGAGACCTCCACGAAAGAGCTACGATGGACGTTGTGACTGGGAATGTTGCTCACAGCCAAACGCAACCGTAACGCACAAACTATTGCATTCCACTTGTGGTTAGGTAGCCGGCAAAGCAACGATGTTTCTCGGACGTCATGAAAAGAACAGCACTCTTTGTCCCATTGGCACACTCCAGGCCGCTTTAAATAATACATTTTAACCGTGTCTCGAAGGCAAAACTGCCGCATAACAATAAAGATATCACTTTAAGTCGACGCTAAAAGTTATAAGTGAACTGTCAACTAAATAAAAACAACAGCAACAGCTAGCAGACGTTCGGTCTTTCATTTGTTTTCTCTGTAAATACACATTCGATCTGCAAATAATGACTTTTTAGGTTACCCGAATTTTTTACATTTCAAAAGAAAAAACAGCAAATGTTTACTCGGAAATTAAATGAGTAAAACAAAAACATACGAACGAATGTTGACTGGTGAGTGTGCGATAGAAATAACTTCGTTTTCAGTGGTGGGATGGGTCTTTTTGGCGTTGGTAACACTGTTTTTGCGTTTTCCCACGCTTTGAACGTCCGGGTCCGCCATGACACTTTGGCGGTTCGAAAGATTCGAAGTGGATTGACGTTAGGCTCGGGCTACCTTGGACGACGCGACAATCCTCCTTCAAGCGACATCCTGAGTGAGTTTATGAATCTTAGTGCTTAGATTAGCTACCTCGACTCGCGATCGTTAAAACAATTATCAAATCATTAGTATTATCGCAACTCGGCGTTGCCGTTGGCGTCGACGCGGCTCGAGCACCGCGGTGCGGCACTGCGGCACCCGGACCCGGACATCGATGTTAAACCAACTCTAGAGCTTTGTTTTCTGATTGGATTTCAGTCTTTCTTCGGTGCCTTTGTCGCTGTTTCAACACCACTTGGATGGGACGAAGGAGGCAGCAAGCAAGCACTGTAGTTACTGTAAGTACATGTGTGAGTGCGAGTGTGTGTGTGTGAGAGAGAGAGAGAAGGGGGGTGAAGGGGAGGGGGCAGTGCTCAATGGGGGTGGGGTCTGAAACAACCTCCCAGTTTTTATGAACAGTTGGGTTGCCACACATCCTCTCCTAGCAGACGACGTAAAAATTTGTGTTTGTCAACATTTGATTCAGACTGAATGTATGAATAATTATCATGAAATCTAGTTAATATGTAAATGTATCTCTTCTGTTAGATACCTGTGGATAAGTTTTTTATTTATATAATTGGTTTGTGGACTGATAAGCAGAAACTAAATCAATTCCAGTCCTGTCACTTTTACATTGCAATATAACCTCTCTCACTTCTTTCATACTTTAATTTCAAGCTAATAATGTTTGTTTGTATTATTATTTGTTTTAGGTATCTAATCATGGCTTTTGGAAAGGTCAAGGACTTAACCACATCCCAATTAGTGGAGATTCTGCGGTCCAAGGGCATTAGGAAGGAGGCTCTTTCTACTATTCAAGGCAAGCATCATTAACATTCTCTGTAATGGGTGTTTACTGTGAGGTTTGTCAAAGGGTCGTCCCAGGTGATATAACAGCATTCCAAAAGCATCTTTTGAAGAGAGAACATGTTGCACCATATTCTTGTTGTGAGGGCGACTGCGCTGGGAGACTTTTTGTGGATAGCAAGTCTCTCGTGCGACATCTCAGAGAGAAGCATTCCAGCGCACTGCATCCAGACCCTCAAGAGGAAGAAATCCATGACATGGAAGGACCCTCCTTCATGGGAGGATCGGCTGAAGATGTGGATATGGAAAATAATGCTGAAGCAAATAATAATCCAGGTCCTGACGATACTCATGATTCAGTTACTCCAGAAGAGCATGCAGATCAAGAAGAAGAAGAAGAAGAAGGAGTAACTGGTGATCATTACAATGACTTCAACAAAATGGTTGAAAACTCTATTGCTGTGATGATTCTCAACCTTCGAAAGAAAGGAAACATTACTGGAACTGCTATCACAGAAATGCTCTCAGAAACCAGTGTTGTGTTAAAAACTGTTGTGAACTATATAAGAAAAAGTGTAGTGAGTCATCTTGAAAGTGTGAATGTTGAGAAGGATGTTGTTGAGTATACATCAGCCCTATTTCAACTGGCAGCTGACCCTTGTGCTCGACTGAAGACTAAAGATCAGCAGATGACTTATTTTAAAGAAAATTTTCATCTTGTTTTACCGGAACCAGCATTCATGGGTACTTTTCGCTATGATCAGCGGCTGGAGCCAGGCCAGTCTGTCAGCTCTGAGACGCAAGTAGCAAAGACCTATCAATATGTTTCTTTAACATCCACTCTCACAGCAGTTCTGAATAACCCAATATTCTTCAAGATGATTCATGAGGAGAAATGCAGCACAGATGGCAAGATAAGATCATATTTGGATGGCAGTCTGGCACAAAGTAATGAACTTATCCAAAAGTACCCTCATACCATAAGAATTGTGAAATTTGCTGATGAACTTGAAGTTGTCAATGCTTTGGGTTCCAAAACTATCATCCACCAGATAATGGGTCTTTATTACCTCATACAAAACTTGCCACCAGAAGAGAATGCTCGTTTGCGTTCAATTCATGTTGGTGCCTATGGTTATACTGTAGACTTTGATGTTGCCATTGGTATAGATTCTATGTTGGAAAAATTCTACAATGAGCTTCAGGAGTTAGAGACAGAGCAGGGTAAGTTAATTCAAGTAAATGGTTACCCATATGTTTTGCGAGCCACTTTGATTGCTGTTTCTGCTGATTCCAAAGCGGCTCATGAAATTATGGGACTTCTATCACCTTCTGCTGGTGCCTTTTGTCGAGCCTGTACTGTGACTCGCTCTCAGTTTCATAATGACATACTTGCCATGGGGGAAGAGAGGACCAACGACCTCCATTTTGACAATGTTTGTGAAGTTGAATCTCAAGGTGATCGTGCTCGAAAGAGGACAGGAGTCAAAAGAGATTGTTTGCTACGGCAATCATGCAGATTTCCTCAGGTTCCTAGAATGGCAGTATTTGATGGGATGCATGATATACTACGAGGTGTGGCCAGTATGGAGATCAAGCTAGCACTAAGACAATTTGTAGTGGTTGAGAAAATTCTTCCAATTGATCTTCTTAATGCTCGCCTCAAATCTTTCCAATATGGGATTGTAGATTCAGGCAATGCACCATCACCCAACTTTACTGTCGACAGTCTTCGTAACTTAGAAGGTTACAACTTGCTGCAGACTGCTGCTCAAACTTGGTGCTTGTTACGAGTGTTTCCATTCATTGTAACTCCAGAAGTGCCTGCTGACCATGAACACCTAAGACTTGTTGTGCTTCTCAAAAGGGCTACAGAAACTATCTTCAGTCTTGGTGTGTCTTTGAATGACCTGGACCAGCTTGATGAACGACTCGTTGAGCACCATAAGTTGTTTTTTAAGTTATACCCTCCCACAGGACAAGTTCCTATTGTACGACAGGAAGAAGAAGAAGAGGAAAAGGAAGAAGGGGAAAAAGAAAATGAGGAGGACGAAGAAGAAGAAGAAGATGTAGATGATGTGGAGCCAGTAGTGGTGGAGCCAGTGGCTGGGGAAGATAAACAAGGAACCACTGATACTTCAAAAAAGGCAAAAAAGAAGAGGAAAAAGCCCAAAATTGTTAGACCAATTAACAAACATCACCACCTCCTGCACTACGCTAAAATGATGAGACTACTAGGATGTGCAATCCTTTATTGGTGTATGAGGTAATTGTCCATTTTTTAAATTTAATTTTTTTTTAAATTTAGATTTTTTATGACTTATATATATATTTTTTTTTTTTTCATAGATTTGAAGGAAAACATGCTATTGCAAAACGGTATGCTCAGATCTGCAACAATTTCATGCATTTGGACCTCTCATTAGCTCATGTACACCAAATGAGTCATTGTGCAGAAATGTTGGCAGCAACTACACCAGTCAGAGATGAAGTCCATTTTTCACGTGGAACTGTGCTTACAGTGTCACAGTGTGAACATTCTGCGCCTCTTCAGAAGCTTGGACTTGAGATGGATACTGTTGTGAAAACTGTCAGGAGTGCAGCACTCGGTGGTTTCCAGTACCGGTGTGGTCTTCTTGTTGCTGTCCCATATAATCAAGTTGACAATTTACCAGTGTTTGCATCAATTTTGGAAGTATTGCAGCATCATGAGGAGATTATTCTTGTAGTTGAAGACTGGAAGACACTACATTATGATGAAAGCTTTGGAGCATATGGTCTTCAGAAGAATATAGTAGACTCCAATATCCATGCTTACTTTGCTAAAACTCTACCACCTCAGCGTTCCATGAGCCCTTGGAAACGATATGACAATGACTCTATTTTCTATGTATCTCCTCGTTCATCCTTGGCTGACACACTACTGTCAGCTACAGAAGAAGTGTAATGTGGTGAGAAGAATGTTTTGTTTTTAATTCAGAGATTGAAACCATTTGGGAGAAAATAACACGCTCAATGAGATGAAAGTTACTATGAAAGATCTATTTCATTCTATTTAAATTCTACTCGTTAGTTGCTATGGTTTCATGTGCTTTAATCTTACCTTTGCCCTCATTAATGCTTTTGTTCTGTTTGTTTTCAGATGAGGCTATTGCTGGGCGTCATCTGGCCAAACTTGGTAAGATTGAAGATTTGAAGGCGTTTGGCTTGAAAGCAGGGGACATTTATGACATTGAGAATGCCTTGGAAGAGTTTGTAAGTTTCACCTTATCACTCTATTTTAGAAGAAAATTTTTAATGACACCTATTGTACCTAATGCTTATCTTCTTCTGTTTTTTTGTTAAGGAGAGAGACAAAGTTACTGAAAATGAGTGTGAGCAAGATGACAGCCAAACTGGTAGTACCAAAAAGGATAGTGACACTGCCGATTTACATAACACAAATGTAAGCTTTCTCTCATATTATTTAAATTGCCTTTTTAATAATTTTGTGGGAAACTTAAGTACATTAAAAAATTCTAGGATAATGATACATCTGATACTGATCGAATAGACATGGAACTTATTTCTTCTGTAAATCTTGATATGTATTTGTCAGAAGAGACTATAAATGGAATGAGTGATACAGAGAAGGATGCAGCCCGGCAAAGAATTGAGAATTGGCTTACGCTGATGAAGATGGGTGAGTAACTGACCCGCTGCAAATGCCGCTATCTTTAAAGTAATTTTGTTAAATTTGCTTACAATTAATTGGCCCTTTCCTTTCAAACAGGTGTTGCTGCCCCTTTTCCTACTATCATTGAAATTTAAAAAAAACCAGACCAAGGCCGGAGGCCAAGAAAATCTATGCAGACCACAAGTGAAACTACTACTGAAGTGAGAAGAAGCCAGCGTGTTTCTTCTATGATGCCTTTGGGTCCTTCAGGAAAGGTTAGTATTTTTACTAAAATTAATCAAAGTCAGTGTCATTTTTCTTTGGATTTTGTCTTTGTCTGCTAATTATTCATTTTTTTTATTTTTAGGAAATCTCTAGAAACTCAGATAAAGCTAGAGAATTTTCTTCCTCCAGGGTAGACCTAAAATTGAATTCAACCCCACTCAAGTCTCTTTCCGTCAACACCTTTGACCCAACACCTTCTTGCTCTGGAGTTGCAAGCCCACCTACATTCTCATCTTCTTCCTCTAGGCTAGATCTAAAGTTGGATTCCAGCCAACACAAGTCTCCTTCGGTCTTTGCATTTAACTCAACGCCTTCTTGCTCTGGAGCTGCAAGCCCGCCACTGTTTTCAGCATACTTTCCGTCATCAAAGGAGAAAGAGAATCCCCCTCGGAGATCCACACCTTTAGACCATGATGCTGGAAGTAAGCGCCGCTCTGTTTCACCACCACTTCAATCAACTTCTAAAAAAGTAAGTGTGTGAGTTTCATTGATTTCTTGTTTACTTTGTTTTTAGTGTTGTTAAATGGGCTTATTTTTCATTATCTAGGCAGCCACTTCCACCAAAGAAGCAGAAATTCCTCTCCATCTCAGAACTTTCATGAAATCTACAACTCTGGTAATCTTTGTTAAGTTTACTCAAATTGTGACTCAGTTTGCCTTTGCCTTTAATCCCTTTTAATATTGCTTGATTTATCTACAGGATAACACAGAAAAGTCCCTTATTAGAAGTGCTCTTTTAGATACTACTCTTTACCAAGTAAGTGTGCTGTATAATTATTTATTAATTTTAGTCCAGTTTAAATTTGTTAATTTTGTTTTCCCCCTTCTTTCCAGTATGAAATTAGTCCAATGTTGAAAGGTAAAAGGGGGATGGACAAAATTCTTCACCATCTAGAAAGAGGAGGTGTTATCTTTCAGAAAAACCTCTCCGATGTTATTGACGAACTTTTGAAGCACATCAGTAAGAAACCGCTGTAAGTACCATCACTAAATCATGTCACCTTTTTTCCATGGTTATTGAAGGTTTTGCCTCTTACCCCTTTTGTTTCTCTATTTATTCAGTAACATCTTGGCAATAAATCCAGCTATGAGGGAGGGATTGGCTGTTTCATTTGTAGCCACATACCCGCAAATGGCCCAGAAAGCAGTGAGAAAGGAAGACATGCCATGGGTTAGTATGATTGAAATAAATTTGATTCCCAGGTTTCTTCTGATTGTTACATTTATGAGCTAATGCTTTTTTTGTTTTGAACTAATTTTCTTATTGCTTATTTTGCATTTGTAGACCTGGCTTTTTGATAGAAAAAACAACACTGGGAAACTGTCTTCAGTGTATCGAAAGCTGCAGCAAAAGCAGCAGGAGAGACCCAGATGGGGTGGCACTGACCGCAGGAAAATGAAACCAAAGCCTACCAGTTCATCTGAACCTGGTGCTACTTCAGTTGATCAGCTACAACTTTCACACAATGTAATTAATTCCACCCTCTCTTAATGAAATTTAAATTATTTCTGTTCTTGTCTTTTAAAAACAACATTGTTGCAGACCAAACTTCTTCGGTTACTCTCACCGGTTGACTCATCAAAAGATGAAATTAGAAAACTGATGACAGAAACATTCCCAGAGCGAAAAGCACTTGTTTCACAAGGAAACCATCAAGTTGGTGTGCTACTCCAAGCTTATGTTCATTTAAAATCTTTTCAAGGAGAAATGGTAGTTATTATTATCACAGCATTTTTTTTTGTTTCTACAGGCATTGTTTTAAAATTCACATTTTGTTGTTTTGTGTTCTGTTTGCAGATTGACCTTGACTTTGAAATGTGGTTTCCTGGAAAGAAAAACAATCTTTTGCTGAACTTTCAAAGTCTTGTCCCTCTCCTATTGGAAGCAGCCAAGAGGGACAAGAAGAAGTATCCTCCTGAAGAGGTGCTACAGTTCAAAGATGGTTTGTACCTGGATTTATGTTGCTGTTTTATGTTGCTCTTAATCTTTTTCCAACTATAAAATATAATTCTTTTGTCCTTTCTTTTATATTGTAGAGTCCCTGAATGCTCTCATGATTTTGAGCAAATTTTTGCCTAAGCCTAAAAGGACTCAAGATCATGAAAAAAACATGAACCCTATTGCTGAGATGAATGACATTTTTCAAATAGTTCCTGTGAGTATTTTACTAAATGCATATGTTCAGAACTGTATCTGCCTCAGATTAGAAACTCTAGAAAGTGCCTTTACATTTTCTAGGCTGGATCAAACATTGAATATGAAGTAGGAACAAGGAAGAAAATGTCCAAACATCCCGTTCAGCCTTACATAATTGCTGTAGGAAGCCAGAAGGACATCGGAAGAATGTACCTGGTCTGGGGAGATGCACACTCTAT